GGGGGGGGGCCTAGGGTGGTTGTTGCCGTTCCCTCGTTGCCCTGTCACGGCCGCAGTTCTCCGTGTTGCCGGACGTAGCCATGCCTGCCCTGTGCCATCTGATGTTACTTTTGCAAAAATAAAAGACGCTGAAATGAATGTTCCAGAACAATCGAAGTGTAATGACTGTTTTTCAGGCACCGTATCTGGAAATCAAGAAGCAGATGGATAAACAGGACCCCCTTGCTCACCCCCTGCTGCAATGGTATAAATTTCAGTTTTCCTCTCACTGAAAGCATTTGTTTTCTACCACCTACTTTAAGGGAGTAAAGGCCTGTTTTATAGAACCTGCAGTGCTAGAGTTCTGCAGCCCCTGAGGCTGGGGTTTTATAGTCCACGAGTCTCCCTGACTCCCTTTAATCAGACCTCGTACATCACGAGGGAAGAGGGTGCTGTCGAGTGCCCGACATGGACACAGCGGAGTTGATAACAGTGTGTCCGTAGTTTTTAAAAATAAGATAAACTGGATTACAGTGGTGAAGCAGTTCTTGGTTCATTTAATTATCTAGTTAACTGAGGACCGAGTGATAAAACTCACCTATTTCCGAACTCGGTCCAGAATGCCTGTTCTGTAGAATTTGCTCCCTCGCAAGGACGGTATAAATTTGACGCGAGCTCCTTGCTTGGCGGCTGCAGGTGAGGCAGCGTTTCCGGGGGCCCCGGTGGGGGGCTGAAGGAGGCCAGGCTAGGACGAGGCGAGGCAGGCGGAGGACCCGCCTTGCACCATGACATGCAGATAATTTGCCCCCTGGTTTCTCATGTTCACAATGAAAACAACACCATCGACTCACAGTTCCCGTAAGGGCCTTATGTACACGTCTCTCCGAAACCACTGAAAACTCAGACTGTGGAACTCACCACAATTATCATGCAGTAAAACAAATGTAAAGGTTGTAAGAGGTTGGTGAGAACAGTATTTATTCCACGCGACAGCCAGGAAGTTTTTAAGAAGTATGTGAAGGTGGGCAAAGGCGAAAGACTGGGGACCTTGGGGTTCTGGTTACTTAACTGTGTCTTAGGATTTTACAATACACATTTAACTGTGTAATAAGACTGGGGGAACAACTAGGTTTAGAAATCTTCCTCCTTGGAATGTTTTACGATCTATTGTTAAAATTCTGAATTCAGTAAAATAACACAGTTTTCATGTTAATTTTTAAAATTCTCGCATTAACATTTAAAAGACGGCGTTTAAATTCCGTCAGCATTTAAATTCGGCCAGAGGGACCCACTCCTTGCCGGGAACTAAAGTTCCCTTTTGTCCGATAAAGTAAGTCACATTGGAAAGGAAGGTACAGATCCCGGGCAGCTCATCTCCTTTTCCCCCCAGAGTCAGCCTGAGCGTTAACCTCGGGTTATTTGCGATCATTTCCTGCAGACTCTCAGTCTCAGTCTTCTTTCAAGGAAAAAAAACTACCAAAACGGTTCACCATTTCCCCTGCTTGATTTTTTGTATACATGAAACAATTCTTTTCGATATCTGAATTTAATTTTCTCAACTTCAGTGTCTAAATATGTTGAATGATGGTTTGTGTTTAAATCACTGTATGCATCAGCCTAGAGAGATTCTCAAATACCTAAAGAAAAACTTATTTTTAATTAGGTAATGTAGGGAGGGGTAAAGGAAGCAGATACATGGATCAGCTTTTATCTTTGTAATGTTTAGATTATCATTATTTGAAAATATATTCAGAGATGTTCATTTAGCTGGTGTTTGAGACTGGGATTATTAAAAATCATATCTTAAGTTTTAAAGAAGAAAAGAGTAAAGTGTCATTTCTCACTAAAATATCATTTTGTTAACATAAGCTCTTTAAATTGTTTCAGAAAGCAAAATGATATAGTTAAATGACATTATTACTCAATTTATTTCATGTCACAGTAAAAGTAAGTTCCAATCCCTTGCCAGCGAAGAATAAAACTTTAAATGTATTTGGCAAATGCTTTTGACTGATGGATTATTTTAATCAATTTCAGGGTCATTTCAAGTAACAGGTCACACATTGTGAAACTGCCAGTGAACAGGGTAAGTGGTTTTTTCACATGTTCGCACGGAAATGGGAGGTGCGCTTATTAGTTGGGAGAACTGACCCCTGTGATTTTTTTTTTTGGCAGCCTCTCCGGGAAATTTAAGTAGACTCGGGTTAAGGCTAATTCTTCAGTTTGAAATCGCCCTATCTGACCATCTTCAAATTTGTCCAAGACATCAAATTTAAATGCAGGCTGTTGACCCTGACCTTTTAAGTAAAGCAGATTCAATATGAGATAGTTATTGCCAAGGTGATGGAAAGATTACCTAGGGATTGACCAGAAAGGGGTAACATGCTTTTTGTCATTGCCAGTCTCGTGTTCGCACAGCTCTGCTTTTCTGTCTCGGAGAAGAGAAGGCCTCTGGATCTCTCTCTGATCGGCCCAGTGCTCTTACAAATAGTGAGAAAGCTAATGGACTCTGATTTCAGTCCAGATCACCACCTGAGAGCCGTAGCCGACGTCTCGGCTCTCCTGTCTATGAGTCTCTAACCTGTGAGAGTCCTGTGTTTTATTCCTGCATAAGTGTATTCCTGGGTGAAAGGGCGGCAATTAGAAAATTCCCTCAAGCAACAAATCCAAAAGGTTCTGAATGTAGGCAGTTTCCAATTTTATAAATATATGCAAATTCAGCATGATGGTGGTAATTTTTGCAATTTAAACCTCTTGAACTCACTCTTCTTTTTCGCTTAGCAAACCCTTAGACTGTTTCCCCAGTTGCGTAGCCAGCGTGTACTTAGGGGATTCAGTAATAAAATTCTGAAGAAGAGATGTAATCGGGAAGGCAGATCTGAACGTGACTACCCAGTGTCCTCCAAAGCTAAATGTAAATGATGTTGGACTGCCGGCCCCCTGTCCTTCCTCTGTTGGCCTAAAGAATTACCTTTCCTACCAGCCATGCCATGATTTATCATTTATACAGGGTTGGGTGGGTCTTTTTCTTTTTTAATGAATGGCTTTGTTAATGCGATGAGCCTAGATATTGTTCTGGCTTGAAGCTAGCTAATTCTGAAACCGGTGAAGTCTGACATTGTCAGCAGCCTGATGACAGGTTACATCGAACATCTTCCCGTGTGTCATTCTTTTCATTGGCAGCAACTGAAGTTCATGCACACTCCCCATCAGTTCCTCCTCCTCAGCAGCCCACCAGCCAAAGAGTCCAACTTCAGAGCTGCCAAGAAGCTCTTCGGAAGCACCTTCGCATTTCAGTGAGTGTGGCTCAGTGGGCGGGGGGGGGGTCTGCACCCCATCCTCAGAAACACGTACAGAGAAGAGTCTTCTCTTGAGTAGTTGGCTATAACTAACACTGAACAGCCCACTACATAGTACTTGCCCTGGAAACTGAGGCCTTTCAGAGGCACCGTGGCTTATTATGTCTTTTATTATCATGTATTGTTATTGTAAAGATCATGGATTTTTGGGTTATGTGTTTCCCGTCCTCTGCTCCAGTGGCTCACACATTGAGAACTGGCACTCCATCCTGAGGAACGGCCTGGTTGTTGCTTCTAACACAAGGCTGCAGGTAAGTCTTCTGAACACTTTACCAAACCCTCCTTGTTCTTCAGTGCTGGAGTTGGGTAACAATCCTGGTGTTACGTTTTTTTACCTGTAAAAAAAAGGAAGTATTTGGATTTTTTTAAAAAGTACATGGAGCCCAGCCAGGCATGGCTCAGCGGTTGAGCATCGACCTAGGATCCAGGAGATCGCAGTTTGATTCCTGGTCAGAGCACAGGCCTGGGTTGTGAGCTCGATCCCCAGCAGGGGGCCTGCAGGAGGCAGCTGATCAGTGACTCTCATCATTGATGTTTCTCTCTCTCTCCCTTTCCCTTCCTCTCTCTGAAATCACTAAAGATATAAAAAAAAGTTAAAAATAAATGAATAAATAAAAAGTACATGGAGTTTTTAGTAGGCATCAGTAGTCTTCACAAGGGAACGGAAGCAGAATTGACCGATACACGATCCAGGGATGGAAAGAAGTGGGCTTGCTGTGAGAAAACAGATCACTTTGAACCTAAGTAGAGAGATTATTATGCAGAAGTAAAACCCTACAAGCGTTCTGTCTGTTAACACATTTTTTGAGCACTGCTTTGGGGTGAATATTTTATTAGAGGAAAAGGTAGAGCTACGGATAAGAAAACTGGAGCCTGGACAGCAGAAGGCCACGCGCCTGCTGCTCGGCCCCCGGGAGCTGGCAGGACGGGGGGTGCCCCCCTCATCTCCCACGCCCTTCCTGTCCCCCGCCCCGCACCGTCCACGGCCGACTTCCACCTGATGGTGCAGGAGGTCGGAAAGTGAGATCCTCACCCCGGGCCCCTGGGCGGGACCCCACACGCAGATGACAGCTGGGATGACTCAGTCACACGTAAAAGTTCACAAAGTCAGTCCACACCAGAGATGGCCCAAGGGCCCAAGAACACAGCGATACTAGGAGAGAAGTGTCGTCGTTCTGAGTAGCTTCCCGTTCGAGCTGAGCTTCGGCTGACGAGGAATGTGCAGGCTGAGAGTGGGGTGGCCGCATGGTGTGATCACATCTGAGTGGGACTCTTCGTTGACTTACAGGCATGGGAGTTCTCACCCAGATCCTCTCACATGTTGCGGCCTGTTTTGTTTCCAGAACTTTAGACTCATTAACCCCGAAGCTGCTTTTTCCTGCTACTGCTTTACTGCCGCACTTTATCATAAGTAGGCCCCTCTGTCATCGCTGGGTGGAAAGGAACTTTTCATGTCCGCTGACTCTGGAGGTTAAGGACAAGGGCATCAGTCCGCTGTTTTCACGAGACCTTGCAGTAAACGCTTTATCGTGTTCTCGCCGTCAGAGCTCCCCCACGGGACTGACGCCTGCCTTTGTGAGATACTCACAGTGATGCCAGGCCGGCGTGGCCCAGTGGTTGAGGGCCCACCTAGGATCCAGGGAATCGCTGTTCGATTCCCGGTCAGCGCACATGCCCGGGTTTCGGGCTCGATCCCCAGCCGGGGGCGTGCAGGAGGCAGCCGATCAATGACTCATCATTGATGTTTCTCTCTCTCTCTCTCCCTTCCTCTCTCTGAAATCAAAAAACATATTAAAAATATATAAACATTGGGGACCATCGGCTGATGCTTTCTCTCACCCCCTCCCGCTGTAGCTCCACGGGGCCATGTACGGAAGCGGAATCTACCTAAGTCCAATGTCGAGCATCTCGTTCGGTTACTCAGGTGGGCTTGCCTTTCACCTCTGACCTCCCCTTTATTTGGTTTTTATTTCCTTATTGTCATATATGCCAGGCACAATTTTCTATCAAGTGACTGAAGCTTACTTGACGTAATTTGTATTAAATTTTTTTATAAATGTCAGAAGCAAAACAAAGCTCACATTTCAAGCTGAATTTATGATAATCCCTCTAGGGCCTAAGAAGGTGTTTATGTTTCGTCAATTCCAAAATCAATTTTCATTTTGTTTCAATAGTTTCTTGGTTTATTCTGTCCACAATTAAATACTGAGAAGTACTGATACCTGTTACTTCACTGTCACTGAGTATAATTCTGTGCCAGGCCGTCTCCTTTGCTTTGGATTATTACATGTCCCATATAGAAATTTTAAACAGTATGGAAATTGTAGGGTCAGAAAAACACCCTTAATATCCCCCTGCTTATTGGCAACTTCTTGTCAATATTTTGATGAAGTTGTGTGAAAAAAATTGTCTTACAATCAATTGAAAACATACTGAGGAGGAGCAGGGTACATTCAAAATATGGAAGGAATGGTCCCCAAATTGTTAGCAATTATTACCCTGAGATGGTGGAATTTGGGATAATTTCCTCTTTTTATTTTTAAAATTTTTTGGTATACTTTACAATGATCAGTATAATTTTTTTAGAACAATAAATAACATATTCTGTTTAAATAGAAACTAATTAGTAACAAATTAAGTTTTTCCCTCCTTTTTACAACCTGTGTTCAGTGTGTTTCCCTTTAGGCTTTTGAATGCTTTTATACGCACATACCTGCGTGTGTAGTTTGTTTTGCTTCTGTGCTCCTGTGTGTGTGTGTGTGTGTGTGTGTATGTATGTGTGATGACATTAGACAACTCCCGGGGATGCATTCCGAGGTGTCTGGATGGTGAGACCCCCGTAATAGGAAAGGATGCTTGGAGGGCCTGATAACCAGTGAACGGTGACCAGGCCTGCCTGTCTCATTCCTTTGCCCGGGCTCAGGCCCTTTCGGTCGTAGCGCGTTGTTTCCGTGATTCACCCTTACCTCTGGCAGAGCACGTGTCCTACGAGCACCAGGTAGGCCCTGTTGGCCTTTTCTGACGCAGCCTCAGAAGACGGATGACCTCGCCCCCTGCCTACCGAGTGGTCATAGCAGTCACAGCCCTGCTGCACTCAAGGTTGGGGAGTTAGACTCCATCTCCTGACAAAAGGGTGGCAGAGTCACACTGCAGGGAAGCATATGGATTGAGAAATATTGTTGCAGCGACCTTTGAAAGCCATATGCAGGGCAATCAGTAACATCAGGAAGGATAAGACAGCATAGGAAATGGAAGGACCCAGTGCAACGGAGAAAACAGTTAAAATCAGCATAAATCTAGACTCTAAATCTTGTTAAAACAGAACACAATAGAAAACTAATGTAAAACCACTTTACATGAAAACATCCTCCGTGTAGATAAGGCAAACACAACCAGTCATCAAGGACTTTGATTTTCTGCTGCTTAAGCTGGTGGGGAGAGCCTTCGATGGGGTCGTGGGAAGGACTGGGGGGTACACGTGGATGAGAAGTCTGAGAGAATGGTCATTTGTCTGGGTACATAGCTGTCTTCAAGTTCCAGAAGTGTCTTTGATCACAAAAAATGTAAGAACCACCGCAGCCAGATGAAAGGGCTTCCTCGGGGGTCGGGTAGGGAGCAGCAGGTCTCACCTGGAAACGGCCTCACCACGCCGTCTGCAGCTCGGTCCACGGGCTTTGCCCTTTCTCCTAAGCCTCCCATTGGAACAGCCACACAAAAATACAAACTCGCTTCCTCACTTCAGGACAGCAGATGAGCGTTTTCAGTAAACTGTAGCTGCAGATCCGTCAAGCTGAAAACAGGAATTTCAGTCACGCTTTTTCTAAAATATTTCACAGTAAAAATCATGGCATTAATAGAGCACGCTAAGACTTTGCATGTCAGAGACAAATGGACTTGTTAATTTTTCTTTATTAAGAGATAATAAATTCTACATGGAATTGAACATATATCAACAATTCATGAAGTCAAGTGACAGTATAAACATTTTTTATGTTGTTCACATTTCCCACCCCTTCTCCGTCTACTAACCAGACGGTGAGAATGAAAGAACAGCTTGACAAGCCTTTTTAAAACCAAGTCTTAAGAATTTTCTTATATCAGTTTTATGTGAGAAACTTTCCTATTCCCTTGTCAGTGCAAAGAAAAGAAAAACAAACGGCCCCTCTGCTTTCGGCCTCCACCGGGGCTCCTGAGGCCCCCTGACCCTCCACCCCAGGTGCCGAGGACACGGCAGCTGCCCCCCCACAGGCCATTGTCCCCGCCAGTGGCCGATGAAACCAAACCTTTGCCCGCAGTGGAACTCGGTGTTTTGAGCTGCGCCGAGCGGCCTTGTCTCTCAACGACTGTCTTGCTGATGTTTTCAGGGATGAACAAGAGACAGAAGGTGTCAGCCAAGGATGAGCCGGCGTCCAGCAGCAGGAGCAGCAACGCATCGCAGGTGCGGTGGGCCCTGTGGACCGCGGGTGGCGGGGCCAGTGTGTACCTGGGCTCTTTAAGACGGCGCAGTTATTTTAAGTGGTCATTACTCAGGAAGGAATGAAACTCGCCTGGAAACGCGATAACCAGAATGCCTTTATTCAATAAATATTCCGCAAGTATTTATTGAGCTCCTACTGCGGTGCTGGAGACCGTCCAAGACATTAGGCCACAGTGATAATTAAAAATAGACACGTCCTCTTGGAGCCCACATGCTACTGAGCAGATATAAATAAACTAGGTATAGATTTAGGTAGGTAGAGTGCCAGATGGTGGTAAATATAGGGAAAAGTCAGGGAAAAGGGATGTTCAACGCTATGGCATGGAAGATAGAACTAGAACGAATGGTAAGTGGGTGGTCAGGACAGGATGCTCCGAGAAGGTTCTATCTGAATGAAGGTCTGGAGGTGGTGGGCACAGGTGCTAGTTGGCTTTTCTGGGAGAAAGAACATTCCAGGCAGCAGAGCAGAACAAGTACAAACCCCTTGTTTCAAAGAAAGCATTCTGGACAAATTAAAATCCATCTGATGAATAAAGTGACTTTAATTTTTTTTTAAGAGTATAGTTATGCATTACCTAAAAACAAAAAAACCCCGATTTTCCATAGGAGGCAGATCCGAAACCCCTGTGGCCTAGTGGTGCTGTGAAAATGGCTCGATTTTGCACAGTCAGGTGATCTGGAAAAACTGAGCTTAAGGTTTGAGAAGCTCACGCTAGTTTAATTTTGTTTCCCATGTACTGAAGGTTCCAGGCTTCCAGTAAAAATAAACTTGAGTTCTAATTCTGTGTTGCGAGGCTACCGCAATGTAGTATTTTTATGTGCTCTTCCTTTGAGAGTGACTCAATCACAATTATGTACAGAATCAAATGAGGTAGCAAATATAGCTTGCCATTAGGGGAGAATTCAAGGATATTGCTGCTGGTCTCCATAGGTTTTGTTAAAAAAAGTTTGGAGCTATCCTAGGGCCTATTGTTTTTTAATTATGATCAGTTTAGCGACTGCCCCGTTTTCACTCTAATTTTTAAATTCTTTTGGAATTTAGTCACAGAAGAAAGGTCAGCAATCCCAATTTCTGCAGAGCCGTAACTTAAAATGCATAGCCTTATGTGAAGGTAAGTTGTAATTTTTGCAAACCTCGTATCATTAACTCTCTGTCTTATCTGCGTTGAAGAGTTTGAATATATGTGCAGAATGCTCAGAATAAATAGCGAAAGCCTCCTTCCTTGTGGCCATCGCTAAGGGCACAGATGGAAAACGGTACAGTAGAGATCATAAAGGTCAAAGCCAAAGAGCAGAGCTGGCCAGAATTCAGACAGTGCTATGTTTCATTCTTGGCAGATACTTAGAATGGTAATGACATCTCTCTGATCAGGCATTGCTTCTCTCTTGTTCATATGCCACCTTCCTCTTTCAGTTGGCTTTTGGATGTGTAATATCATGAAAGACTGTAGAGGTGAACCAAGCTCTGAGAAGAGAACTCGCTGGGTCTTGCTGTCACTCTACTGAACCTATTTTCCTATTCTGAACTTGGGACGGAAAAATTAATACAGGCAGTTTGCAAGATCATACACTTTTCTTTGTTCTTGCTTTAAAATCTGACTTTGACCAAAAAAAATCTGACTTGCTAAAAATTCCCTCTTGCGTGGGGAGTTCTGGTAGCCACTGTTAACTGTCTGGCGTAAGTTTTGGACACTTGATAGTTCTGTGGGACACCAGCTGGTTTCTGCATATTGAGGAAGCCGGGACGCGTTCCCTTTAGGGGTACGCCAGCGATGCCCAGCCTGTTGTCCTAACCGTGTTGAAGGGCATCTCGCGGGTTTTGTTTCCATTGCCTGATGGCTGTAAGGTTGACCATTTTTCATATGTTCATTTTGCACGTGCTTTCGCTTCTAGGCTTCTAAGAGAAGGGGTGTAGTACTTGGAATAAAACCTGTCTTTAATTCCATCTTTCCCCTGCAGTGATCACCTCCCCGGACCTGCACAAACACGGGGAGATATGGGTCGTCCCGAATACCGACCATGTCTGCACCCGGTTCTTCTTCGTGTAAGTGTTTAAGGCCCAAACCTGTGTGTGTGGCACCGTCTCCTCCATAAATGCGGTCGTGGTGACGACATTCCTGTTTGGCCACTTTAGCTGCCAGTGTGTAACAGACATGTAATTTCTCATCAACTTAATATTTTTGTTTTATTTTAATAAGCTGTAAAAAAAAACTATGATGTTTAAATGCTGTTAACATAGGAGAACTGAAGAAAAACATCGTCTCTTTAACCATCTGTGTGTATGTATGTATACATGTGTATACATGTGTGTTTATGTGAATATATACAGGTACACAGATGTTACATATAGACATATACAGGCACTTACATAGACATATTCTTTATTTTTATATATTTACAATATTAGAACATGGAATGAAAACAATAATGAGAAGGTCTTGTCCCTATAGAAAGCTGATTTACATTCTGTGTATCACTGGCTGGCAACAGAGGGCGTGTTGTTGTGGTTTTTTTAGACACAGCTGCATCATAGGAGCCGTATGAAAATATAAAAGCATTATTTTCATCCCTGAGTGAATGGTGAGTGTGGGAGGCCTGTCTGATCTTCACCCGCTCGCCTCACTCCCGACTCTTGCCCGTGGCCCGTTCCTTCCTCATACAGGGTCCGGCCCAGAAGGGACCTCAGGGAAGAGCTGAGCGTGTCAGTTTTGTACTTTGATGTAGTTTTCTAGAAAAAGCTGGGAAAAATACACTGGCTTATTTCTTAAAAGCCGCGTCAAAACGATGGCATCAAGACTGCGTCGATATGTCGCGTAGCTATAGCGCCCGCACCCGTAGCATTTCACCCATTGGCTCGTTGACGGACTTCACGGTGGGGTGCTAGGAACTGCCTGCTTTTCCTTCGGGTGGTGGGAAAACTGAATTTCTCGTGGTGCAGTTTTTCATATTATGCGTCTGTGTAGCCTGTGTGCGTATGATACATGTTAATACATAAGTCGCGAGGCATACGCAGTCTGTAGATTTGTTCGTTAATGGCGAGGCAGCAGTGAGAACGGTAGAAAGAGCCCCACTTTTGACCAGTTAGGGTCCAGGCTCACCAGTCATCAGTGAGGTGACATTAGCCAGGTTACATGGCCCCTTGGGCTTCAGCAGTAGGTACAGTGAAGTACTGTCAGTAGACGATACAGTAGAACAATCTGTTACCAGCCATAGGAAACCAATGGCCCATGAAAAATGTGGTCTTTTATCTACAAGTAGATTACATGCAAAGGTGTGGTTCTCGGGGAACCGTGGGTCTAGTGGAGTCACCTGCATCTGGTGGCACCAGAGCTGCTGTGCATCCCTAGGTCCAAAGGGCAAGGGCAAGGCCAGGAAGCAGCCGTCAGAACCTCGTAGGAGAGCCCCTTCCAGTTAAGCAGCTTTGAAAGGAGTCGTGGCCTTCGGTTGAGGGACGAAGGCAGCCAGGTACCCTTCAGGGCTGGAACTGGGGAACCTAAGCTCACCCTCCTGCCAGTGTCTCTGCATCAGTCAAACCCGAGAAAGCAGAGGGCAGGGGAGCGTATTGACGGAGTCCACGCGGGTCGGTCCACTGGGGCAGGGTGCAAGGGAGGGCGCCGTGTGGATCTGCAGCCCCAGGCAGCCGTCTGCACCCCACTCTGTAAGGCCATTGTGAGGACAAAGTTGGCCCCATGCAGGTTTCCACTGAAAGGTGCTCATTACGTATCTTTTTCTCTTTTCTTTCTTGACCATCTTGATATTATCCACTGATTGAGGATCTGCCTTCCAAAGGACACCTCCAGTCACAGTTATTTCATGGAGTGACCTTAAGATTGTGACTGAATAACTCCAGAGGCCTTTCCTTACCTGATTCCAGTCAGCTAATCTAGTCCTTTTAACATCTCGCTGAAGTTTAGGTTTATTGAGCTAATGAACAACTTCAGATATTTAAGTAGGCAGTAAGCATTCGAGTGTTAATTCTCTGACATTTTGCATAAGTTATACATAGAATAAATCCATAGGGAGATACACGGGGTGCGTATATGTGTGTGTTTACCGGAGGGCAAGATTCCATAGAAGAAAAAACTGAGGGAAGACCATCTGCAGAGAAGAAAACGCTCCCAGGACCTCCAGCTCTTTCCAGATCATACAAAGGAAAGAATTCTACTAAGATGACGGTTTTCATTTTTTCATAAATACAGATGAGATTTCATTCTTTTTCTCTGCGTGCTCGGGAGAGAAGGGACTAGTTAAGGGGAAATGATAGGTTTCAAAACGTGTCAGAAGAGGGTCCCCTCGCTGATTACGTGCGTTCTGATTACGACCATCGGTTTCCTTCCGCACAGAAGATGCCGCTGAATTCCAGTGTGTGCCTCCCTGGTGAGGGGACACGTCCAGGTTAAAAAAGAGAGAGAAAGAAATGACATCACAGACATACCAATTTCAAGCAGAGAGTAAATTTATGTTCTTATTTTCTTTTCTTTTTCTGTTACGTGATCTCTTGTGTTGGCTGCGTGGCCTGGCGACTAGCATATAAATCGATGTGCCTCCCTTATCTGCCTATAGGTAAAAACAGTAAAAATTAAAGTTCCATGCGGATCGGATTTCTAGAGTGAGGGAGATACTGAAATAGTCATTTGATAGACTAATCACACTTTCCAGCAAGTAAACAGTAACACAGGAGAGGAAGATCGGGGAGGATTTTAGGGGACAGGCTACTGTACCAGGAAAATGGAAAGTGAAATTTAAGGGACGGTACCCCTGTGGGGGCGGGAGAATGAGAAGCCTGAAGAGGTTGTGTTGGAAAATTCCAAAGTGAGTAAACTTGATGAAATACAAATGCCTCGGGCAAAAAATGTATTAATTCAGGTGTGATGAGCAGATTCCAGCCAAATTCGAGCGTTTTCAGCGATTCTGGGCATCGTTGCGAAAGCTCGATTTCACCCCTGGCCCGAGACGTGTGTACAAAGACAGTAAATTCAATATGTGGAAATAAGGCAGCTTTTTAAAGGGGGCCGAGAGCTGGGCTTACACAGAGGATGTGGCACCAAACAGACCTACTGTTCTCTGATCTTACGCAGCAACAGTGGGTCTGCACGGTGACCGGGCCTTTAGGGCCGGAGGAGAAAACTTACGATTGGCGTTTCCGTAAGGCCGCGTCAATGACAAAGCTCAAGAGAAGGCAGCTGCCGGGTTGGCGGGGTAACCGAGGAAAGGTTAGGGAGCCCTGGCTGTGGGTATCTTCTTATTTGGTGTTGCGGCCTGCATGCTTAACGCTCCAGTTTTTCTTTGGTTTAGACCAGGCAGATCTGCAAATGAAGTGCTTCTGTATTCTGTCTGTTAATTCAGTTGAAGGCACAGACCCCCTCCTATTTTTCAAAGCATCTGAAGAAGTTCAGAAGTTTAAGGAGGGGAAGGCCGAGTAAAGCGGACTGTCGGCAGGAAAGAGACGCGCGTGCCCAGGTTCCCGGCCGGGCAGGTCGATTCCAGGGCCTCCTGGCCAGAGCCTGTGCCCGGGAAGGCCCAGCTCAGCGCCGCCTCTCCCACGAGGCTCCTGATCCAAACGGGTTTCTCTTCCCGGGGCTCCCGCAGCTCGGCACGGAGCCGCCATGTAAAACTTTGCATCCACCGCTCCTGACTCTCCCAGGAGGCAGGCTCCCGCTCCTGGTTTCCCCCCTCCGCCTGCCCTGCAGCACCTCGAGGGGGTCCCGATACTGATCCATGCTTGCTTGCCGGTCAGTTTTTAATGAATGAACAGACAAAAAGGAAAATATCTCAGATGATATGTGGCTTTTAGCTAAGGTCAAAGTTTGAAATATTTCTAAAGAGGCAGATACAAGAAAAGTTTATATAATAGCCGTGTAATGGCCACTAAATGAAATGAGATTTCTCTCGTTGTGAATTTACAAAACATAAACAGTGTTCCGTTGGGAACACAGTGAGGAGACAGCGTGTTTATAGTCAGACGACAGAGCGTGGGTCACGGCTCAGTGGATCAGCCTGGCATCACGCTGATAGGATCGGGAAGCTGTGCCTTATCCCCAGCCTGGAATAAATCCAATTTCTCTGCCTCCGACCCGGATCTCTTCCCAAGGTTTAAACCGCCACGTCACTCCCTGCATCCGAGTCCTTAACAGCTGCTTACTCCTTAGGAGATGCAGCCCAGTCTCCTTTACCAAGGGGACCGACCAACCCCCCGGCCCTTTGCTCCCCTTCAGCACCCCTGCATTGGAAGGTCCGGGAGGTCCAGCCTCAGCCTCACGGCCACCGTGTCTCACCCCAGCACGTCAGGCTCTGCAGCCCGACCTGAAGGCTGCCAGCCCCGCACTTCGGCTCTCCTGCCAGGAGCCTGGGCTCTCCCTCCCGCTCTCTCCCTCACACTCACTGCCTGGCTCCCACTCCTCTTGGGGATCCCAGTGCGTCCCGTCGCCCCTGCAGGAAGCGTCCCTAACTCCCTGGTCCTGCTGCTCCATGTCACCCTGCCCCCGGCGTGGTTTCGGCAGTGGGTTACGCTCTTACACGCGTGGCCTTCGTTACTCCGTGCACTTCCTGAGGTCCGGTTGGTGTTTGGGTACCCAGCACGGTGCCTGGCAGATAGAGGACTGAATGAAATGCCCGCCTCACGACCGCTTGCTGGGTATTTCCCCTGAAAAAGTCTGCGAATACCTTAACCTCAGCGTGCGCACAGTGGAACCCGTTACTGCCACATCCCCTGGCCAGCGTCTCTCCGTCCCCATCCAAGCAGCAGTTTTACGCATCAGAGACTTGGAACCTGAGCTGGGGTTTTCCATTCCGTTTCCTTCTCACTGTCGTCATCGCTCCCGAGTTTATCTTCTCAGTTTTCTCCTCTCGGTACCTTTGTTTCCATGGATATGCCACTCTCTCCCCCGGAGCACAGCACAAAGTGCCGGTTATTCTGCGCGCTTCTGAGGCCTTCGCTGCTCCTGGTCTGCGTGCGCAGTGCCGGGTTCCCTGAGCATCACCATAGCACACTGGCGATGCCTGCGTAGTGCGCAGAAACCACGCCAACGGTACGCAGAGCGGAGAAAATCACCGTCACAGCCCCCTTAGAGTTGACTAGCGTTACTCTTCTGGTCTGTAGCCTGTGTTTCTACGTATATAAAATTTTAAATCATGCTATTTATACCACAGTAATTTCCAAAAAGCAGATTTTTGACTATTCCTTGCTCAAGCAGGATGCTGATTTTTACCAGGCGTGGCCTTCTGCTCCGCGTAGTCCGTCTACCTTACTCCGATCGCCCCTACAAACCCCTGGTTGAGTAGAATTACCATCCAGAAGCGTGGAGTTGCTTTTCCCCACTACTGTGTCTCGGTCAGTCCACGTGATCGGCCTTCGCACCAGCTCCGCCTTCAGCCAGTCCCCCAAGTCTCGGCCACACGGTCCGCCCCATGGGCCTTTCCCGACGCCCCCAGAAGATGTGCTATCTGTCTTGGCTCCGGGTTATGCTGGCCCTGTGTCTCTGCCCCCAGCTTGCCTCCTCCTAACTACCATCTCCCCCAGTAAGACGCAAATTATGTTCGTGCTGGGAATCTCAGGCCTTGTGCGGAAACACTGAGTACGTATCGAATGGAAGCAGTGACCAGAGCCGGGTGTTGTGACTGAATGAAGAGTGTGGACCTGGGCTGTGAGGCAGCTTCAGTCTCTCGCAGGGACTTGGGCGAGTGCTGGGCGTCTGTCCGTTGCTGGTGGAAAACAGCGCCATCGGTCCTGGGTTCCAGGTTTAGGGAGACAGAAAGCAGAGTTACCTGTGCCCGTCTTAGACCCGTCACAGCTGCGATACCAGCCTGAGAATAAAGGCTGTCACAACGGTCAAGTCTTCACCCACGAAGTTTCCTCGCATGCCCAAGAGTCCCCGACAATTCCACCTGTCCTCTTCGTTTCTCTCTCACAGCCTCTGAGCAAATTGGCTTATTTTCTGATTAAATTTGAGTAATCTTTTTACGCTCCTGGGAACGTGTTACTTCCGTTCCCCTTTAGATGGCTTCCTTTTTCCTTCGTAAAACCCCAGTCAGTGTAGCGTTTCCCTACTGAGAGCTCGCTCTGTTTCTTTCTTAAATTGCGTTGCTTTCAGGACTGGGGGGACCGTCCCACGGACAGCCCAGCGACGTCTGCAGCGCAGATCGGCAGCCACCCCGCGCGGTGCCAGCCCGTTGCAGTCAGGGCCCGGGTTCACCGGTAGCCGCATGTCCGAGCCCTGCCGGGTGACCGGGTCGGGTGGCAGCTTGTTTTCCTTCATCGTGATCCCTGCTTCTTAGTTTAAGACACCGAATGCTTTGGGCCAGGTTTACTCTTCTGTCCTTCAGCTGTTGTGCTTCCTAGACAATTGGAAAATTAGGCGTTTTTCTTAATACTTTTTCAGACTCAGCCTCGCTCTCGCCCCTTGCTCTCCCCGCCTCCCCCTTTGCTCTTACAGGGATGGGAAGTGCCACACGGGGAACACAGTAATATTGTGATGACCGTATGGGGCCAGGCGGGTCCTGGAGGTATCGGGGGGGACACTTTGTAAAGTGTGTGATTTTCTAACCGCTGTGCTGTACACCCGAAACTAATACAAAATAGTACTGAAGGTAAACTGCGATGAGAAATGGAATCAAACATGCAAAGAAAAAGCCGTCGGCTGTATCACGAGCTGCCGACTAGAGATTTCATAGCAGATAAAACATCCTGAATTCATCAGCCAGGAGGCCAGGGTGACCGCGGTCAGTACTGGTCAGTAGAGGTCTAGGGTTCGGCAGACGATGGCAGTGGATCTCGGGGAAAATGGGAAGCTCTGTGTTACAGACGAGTCTTAGTCCGAGGCCAACTCTACACTGAAGGGAGTGGGGACGGAAGCACCGGGCTGGGCACCAGTTACATCCTGTCCAAAGGATAGACCAGTCGGCGTGTTGACGGTACTGGAAGCGCAGAGAGTGGAACAGACACGTGCCCAGCAGGACCTGTGCGGTAGAGACGGGTGCGGACCGGCGTTTGAAATCGGGAGGCCAGCAAGAACCGAAGCAGCTCTCAGGCCTCCCCTCCTCCCGCTCCCCTCAGAGGACAGGGCCTCGTGGCGTCTGTCTCGCTCGCTCTCTGTCTGTCTGTCTTCTGTAATCTAAATCCGAGAGGCGCTGCGGGACTGACTCGGGCAAGCAGCAGCGTCTCCCTCGAGCAGGTCGCCTCCCCAGCCTCGGCTCGGGTGTGTGGGTGGCTCAGTTCACCCTCATCCAGGGGGAGCCAGGGTTTATTAAAAAACAGGACGACAGATTTCCTCGCCCAGTAAAATACACTTTTACCTATTTTGCCACAAAGCAGCTGATTAGGTTTGGACAATTCTGAAGCATTTCATGTTACACATCCTCTGGTTCTCAGCAGGAAGCTTGCTGCTTGACCTCCCCGAGAGTAGACTTATAACTGGGCTGAACCACGTGTGCCTCTTTCCCGTGCAGTGTTGTTTCGCCAGCGGGGGTCTCGTCGTGTGCGTGTGTGTGCGTGTGTGTGCGTGTGCACGCTGGTATGGTGAGAATTAACAATGCTGACAAGCACCCTTGGGTCCGTGCTTGGGAGTTTGAACCTGACACAGACGGCTGTCCGTGGGTGCTTGAGCAGTGGGTTACGTAGGGGCCTAGGTTCTCATTGCTTACGTCACCTGTGTCATTTTCGCGCATTGTGCTGTTTCGGAAGAATCTGCACCGCAAGGGGGAGGCACGGTGCACGTTAATCTCTGCGACTGTGCCCACCTGGTTATCTTTTTGGAAGCACTTACCGCTTCTTGGAGTCATTCTTAGGAAGTAAAATTAATTCATTGCCTATTCTGCTCTGAATATTATCGCAGAAGCTTAAAACTTCATCCTTGGGGAATTTTTATTGCCCAAGCCCAGTTTATTTGAGGAAATGAATTATCATCTGAAATGTAATTATTTCTTAATAAAGGACCCAGTAATTGCTGTCTTTCCGCCTTACGTTTGCACTTCTGCGGCCGAGCTAAACTCGGCGCCCTCGCCTTCCCGAGCGAAGGCGCCGCGGGCGTGCGGAGCTGCCTTCGGCCCCCACGGAGCAACCAGTGACACGGAAAAAACGCCTCGCTGGTTACAGCGGGATAGTAATCAGAAGGCGGGCGGGGCGGGGCCCAGGGCAGAGTGGGGTGGCGGCCCAGAGCGGCACCCATCGCAAATAAGTGAAGGATTGCATCAGGAGGAGGCGGGGCCTGAGGCCCAGGAAGCTGAAGTGGGCGTGTCCCTTTGCACCTGGCGACACCAGCAGCCCTGGGAATACCTGCAGGGGTGCTTTGCGGGGGACACGGGCGGGAAGGGACCGTAATGCAGGCTCTTCTGTGTCTCGCAATGCGAAGGCGTTGTCGGGCACCGCCGAGAAGGAGCTGGCTTCTGCTGTTCATTACCTGGGCTGCCTTTTAGGTAGCAAATGCACTTCTAAGCTGCTTGAAACGCTTTTTGAATTTTCTTGAATGCTTCCACTTTTTTCATGTTTTATGTTTCTGTTTTTGCGCTTTAGCTATGAAGACGGCCAAGTTGGGGACGCAAATATTAACACCCAAGAAGGAGGCATTCACAAGGAGATCCTCCGGGTCATTGGTAACCAGACCGCTACTGGTTAAGGGGCCACCGGGCCGTTACCGTGATTCGAAAGCCTTCCTCGGGTTCAAAGCTGGAATTTGAACTGAAGAAGATGAAATAATTTATTGTTATTATAAACAAAATTAATCCTTTGAATACCGATTTTTTTCTTAGTATTTCTAAGTATCTCATTACATACCTAAAACGGTATGAGATTTATCAATTGCAGGGTTACGGAGTCTAGTAATAAAGGTACAGCAACCCTTAAACTGCCGTTTGGGTCGCTCACACAATAAACAGATTGAAAAAACAGTTCTGTGCTGATATTTTTATATTAAACTCTTTCATTGGAAGTTTGGTATTATATACCGACACTTGAGGTGACCAGAAGGGAACTGAGAACGTTTTATAATGACGCCCGAATCTCTAGGATACTTTGCAATAAGTAACTTGTTTGCACATCCTGACGTGCTACGTACACTTAGTGGTGTGAACGTGCAGATACTCTGAGGGTGTTTTTCCTTTCCCCGTTATTTTTTCTTATACAGAAACAGTTAGTCTTAGACGCAGTGCTTTGCCCGGAAGTCTGTAATAGACGTCTCTATAGATTCATGCATCCGGCGTGTGACTGTGCACGTGTGTGTACATGCACATGTGTGTGATGACACCAGATGGCTCAGCTCCGCAGTGCTACTCATTCAGTGACAAGAAGGCATCCAGTTAGCCATGAATCTGGACGTGAACCAAGATATGAGCCAGATTTACCATTATTCACCCACTGACGAGATTTGCAGTTTTTTTGATTTGTTTAAAGAGTGTTTTCTTCAGTTAAATTCAACTCTTTAATACTATCTCAAAGTCATAATTTGGGAACCACGATGCCCCTGGTGGACTAAAATCTATATTGAAATGATCACATGTATTAAAAAAACAGGCCTCAGAATTTTTTATTTCCTACAATGGAACATTTTTACAATTTATTTAGACCACACCAGCATTTTTATATTTTTTCATCTGATACCTCTGCATATTTTTTTTCATATTGAGAAAGAAGACAAACTTTTAAGTTTCTTTTATATTAAAAGAACACAAAATACATTCGTAGAGAGCAGTGACACCAGCGCCCAGCTCTCCTTTCGAGATTCATGTGCTCTCAGCACCTTTTCTGTTTCTTTGGGTCCTAAAGTTTTTCTTAGTCATCGCAGGTATTCATCGTCAGCGTTTCATTTTCCCTCGTGATGTTTTTGGAAAAGGGCCACTCATGAGAGCGGTTTAATTATCGTATCTGCCACGCATCAAACCCTGAATCAAGGCTCATATCTGATTCTAATTTACTTAGGAAACAATTGTAAAGTCATTTACAAGTCTAATATAACTTCTGTGTTTATTTCCTTTGGTATAAAACATGAGAAAGGGGTCATCCACATTGTTGGCATTTGCTATTTAGGAAGTCTTTACTAAGAATTTGTTTTCATATATTGTAAATAATTAATTTCTGCAAAAAGAGACTTGAAATGGTGGGATAGTAATCCTTGTGACACAATCGACTGAAACCTTGATCTGGTTTAGCTTGTACCTTTGAACCCAAAGCGATACTGAGGGGTGAAGGTGGCATCCTAGGGCTAAGAGGCAGCATATTTAGTGTCCTGTGACCAGAAGTTTGAAGACATTATATAGGACCAGAGGACTATCTGCTTAAGTCTCCCAAGTCCTTTGTCTCTGTTTTAAAAACATTTTTAAGCAACAGGATTATTTTTGCAAATTAATTTTCTGGGACATTTTCTGACATAAAACTATAATTGCAGGATTTGGAAACAGGTCCTGGAGCCCCACCTGTTTGGCCACGAGGACCACTGAGGTACCTCCCAAAACTCAACAGTGCCTCGCGCATGATTTAAACCACTGACCCAGCCCCTGAAGGGTTCCTGAACAGGGGAGCCATCTGAGAGGAGGGCAGTATTAGAGTCTGACCTGCAGGGGAACTTCCAGGACCCAGGGGAGACTGGTGAGGGAGGGCAGGAAGAACGAGTGTAATAGAAACGCCTGCCAATTTAAGAATGAAAGTGGATTCACGTCTCAGAGCAAGGGAAGTAGCTGAAAGTAGCTGATTGTTTTAATCCCTAACAATATTATTGGCAATAGACACCTTTTATGATAAGGTGACTCCTAACCATAAGTAGTGGAATGCTTATTGCGATGCAGAATATGACACATTTTAAGTTTCGAAAAATCATCAGACCCTTTGTAAGCAAATACCCTAAGTTAGAGCCAATCTTTCCGTTGAAATTTTGATATCAGTATACTTTGGTATACTGATGCTTACCTTGATTTCTAAAGAATCTAATTTTAATACCATTAGCAAATGAATACCATGCTTCCAAAATCCAAGCAGGCCCTTACAATTTAGGAGTTTAAGCATCATTACTCTCATGCCTTGATTCAGTCACCCCATGAAGATCCCGTCTATTGACTTGTTTGATGATTCCAAGCATGTGGTATTGTATTGTATTAATTGTTTGAAGTCTGTTCACTGCTGCTTCGTCATAGTTACATTAATTGTGTAGCATCACTGCTAAATATTCACCCACCGAGCACAGGCAGTCATTTATTTTCATCTTGAAGTAAGGGGAGAAAAACCTTAATTTATTAGTTCTAGTTGTAAACATGTCACTATGAATAATGTGTCCTGTTGTCCACTGTGTTACAGGAGAAAATAGTCACATTCGAGAAGAGAAAAAGCAATAATATACTTACATTACTAGAACACAGGATGGTGAGGTACTTCAGTGGTGCGTTGAAATGACTTGTACTTTCGTTGCTCAGCAGATCTCAAATGTTGGACTTGAAGGTGATGTTTAAATTTAAAATTTGAATATGTGTATAAAATCTCAACATCAGATAGTAAGCCCTTCAACTTACTATCAGATACTGTGTGATGCAGGAAACCAACCCAGACTTGTTAGTGCTCTGAGTCTTTCTCATTGGGAAGTGTGAGAGTTTAGAAAAGAAGCCCTCAGCTGTCCCCCTTAATTCACAGCTTGTGCATCTTTGTTATCATTGAAAGGCTTTCGGCCGCACTTTTACCATGAACCATAACTTGACTAGGGCCTGGGGCTTCAGGAGGTTTAGGGAAAACCCATCATCCTCGTTAAGGGCTGGTTGACTCCATCAGGTGGTAACTTAATACGCCCGACGGGCCACTCGACCGAGGACCGTCTACCGTCCAAACGGGTGTATTTCGTGGCCGCACTTGAAGCACATTTTTAAAATATTATAATGTTACCCTGTTGTCTTGCTGAATTCTTCATTGTAACACTACCTCACGACAAGTGACAGGTGTTTGTCAAGGTAAACTGGGTCTCCAGTGTGAGAAAGAAACGGAGATTTACAAAAAGAGGTCCTCAGACAGTTCCGCAGGCGGACTGCGCCGGACAGACGTCGTCGGTGACTGGCCCGTGCCGCGGTAACACGGATATTTCGGTCACTGGGGACGCGTGACGTACTTAACACCCAGTGAGTTACGCGAAGGGATTTCAAGCTGCAAAATTTGAAAATAATTCGTTCCCTGTAAGATTGGTTTTCTACACGGGCCAATTTTATGTCCATTCACCTAAAGCCACAAACAGTCGCCCGCCCTAAACAGTGAAAGGATTAAAATACCCAACTCCTATGCCACATGGCATTGAATGCCTGCTAAATTTTTGTCAGATTATATATAAATTTGATGTATATTATTACCCAGTTCATTTTTCTTGGGGGTTTTGTATACACCATGATATATTAGGGTAAGTTTTTGTAGGTCAAAAGAATTTCAAGTAGTTTTTAGACAAAACATACCCATGAGTGTGAAAAAGCTGTGTTGGAGAATAGATTCCATTACACATTTACCAGCAAGTCAGTAAAATAGCGCTTATTTACATAGTCCACATAATTTAATGTTCTAAAAATAATTTCTTCAATCTGCCCAGTATTTAATGTATCATTTGAGACTTTAAAATATGCAGCCACTCCTTTATGTAAACATTAAGATATGCCTATGTTTCTTTAACTGTGTAGCCTTCTTTACAACAAATTTCTTGACTTTTGTGCACAAACTAGTATTGCAACCTGCTATTTAGCCTTTGGTGCCTTCGAGTTACTATAAATATTTAACAATATGTACATAATGTAAATACTGCCAAGAGATCACTAAGGCCAAATATTTTCTCTATTCACTTTTTATTGCACTTGCTTTCTATTGCTACTTAAGCCTCTTTTATCCAGCTTTGTAATAGTTCTAACATTGTAGCCAATGTAAATGTTTACTTTCAATAAATCTGAATTTGTTCAACAAGTACGGTATATGTGGGCGCTACTTTGAAAACTCGCTTAGGCTCAGATCCTCATGAGGAACCTTGCTTCTGGGGACTAGATATTCGAAGTTCTCAGTAAATTCTAAAGGGGATGTTGCCCTTTTCACTTATAAAATACTTTTAAGGTAAGAGGGAATAAAAGAAACTCTTTTTCCAGTATTCCCCAAATAGTTAGATAGATTTAATTGATTGTGTGAGTACCGTTTTAATTTTGAATTATGTCAAGACATGCAGGATTGAAAAGGGAGGTTTTTGTGCATCTCGTGTGTGTGCTCTATTTATAAACGCCTGGGCATCATATCAAAGGGGCATTTCTAATGAGCCGTCCTGAGGTTTCCAAGCCTTTCTGACTTGGTTAGCAACTAGAAAATGGTTTTTGAATACATCATTCACTGAATATGATATTCCNGAATATGACATTCGTCCATAAATAAGCATAGTTCTCTAGACACATTAACAGTAAATGTTTGTGAGGAGCTAGGTTTATATTCTCATAATAAATAATTTTTTACTTCTGTTACATTGACAGCTGAGAAACCATAGATAGCCGATTTCTGTTTGTTAGACTTGATTTCAGTTCCTCGAGAAATGCTTGTCAGGGGTCTCGTCCTTATAAGGAATAGAGATCATTAGGTTTTTGCCTTGGCCTGAAGGAGCTTTCAGTCTATTTGGGAAAAGAAAAATTACACAATTGGAAGTAATCCGGGATTAACACAAGGCCAAGGGTGCTGAACGGAAAAGACCAGAAATGCAGGCCAGGCTGAGGGAAGGAACGGCGCCCGCGTCCCAGCACTGGGGGGAGTGCGGGGGAACTGGGCACTCGGAGGAAAGGAGACGCGCAGATGCGAGCTTGTGGGTGAACCTCCAGAAACTCCTAAGTACTTTTGCGTTCATCAAGCTGCAATTTAAATGACATCTTGAATCTTTAAATTCATGCTAATGGGTAGCATATTACTAATC